TAAGGAACTATAAACTGCTCAATGGATGTTGTTTGGCCAGGAGAGGTAGTGCACACCTGTAATCCTAACATTTGAGGAGCTGACACAGGGGGATCACTTGCAGCCAGGAGTTTGAGACCAGCCAGGATAATGTAGTGAGACACTTGTCTCTACATTTTTTTTTTAATTAGCTGGGCGTGGTGGCACTTGCCTGCTGTCCTAGCTGCTCTGAAGACTGAGGCAGGAGGATCGCTTGAGCCCAGGAGTTTGAGGCTGCAGTGTCCCATGATCATGTGACTGCACTTCACCCTGGATGACAGAGGGAGACTCTGTCTCTAAAAATAAATAAATCAACAATAAATAGTTGTTGTTTAAAGCCAATGTTTGCAGTAATTTGTTACCCAGTCTTATAAAATACATACACAGGCTCAACAGACTCATGAAATGAATTCATGAATTGATATGCACACTAGTTACATAAAATCTGTCTTAACTTTCTCAGTGTTTTACATTTTGTAATTTTCTGTGGTCCATTTTAGCCCACTCATGTTTCAATCACTCAGTCAACAAAAATTAATTTAGTGCCTACACTGAACCAGGGATGCCCTCATATATTCACGTGCCTGACATTCTAGAAGCTTCGCAAGACGGAGGTGGAGCCACTGGAGTGTTTTATGTGGAGAAATGACACATTCTGACTGACAGTAGCAGGACCACTGTGGAGAGAACAGTCATGTAGCAGGTAATGGGACAGTGCTAGAGCCACTATTCAGGAGTGACAGAGTGGTGGGAATGAAGGGAGAGGAAGGGCTTAGGGATGAGAGGGATGGAGGGAAGGGCTGGAGAAGGAGGAGGTGAGGAGAAGGAGCAGAGGGAAAGAATTAGAAGGCAGCAGAATTCTCAGGTTTAAACACATTGTTTTATAGATTTTTAATACACCCAACTACAGAGCTTCTCAGGGTGTTCTTTGCAGTTGGCCTTTAATATCTTATGTAGGTCTGCCTAAAAACTAATTGTTGCTTATGTTAATCAGCTTTAGAAAATGCTAAGTGTTCCTACAAAATAAACACCCCACTTAGATGTGGACACTTCCTAAAAACAGGCAGTGCATGAGCACTGGTGAGGGGCATTGTGACTGCACTGAACACTTGCGACTGTGAGGTGAATGAAGTCTGTACTGGCTCCTGGTTGCAACATACGGTAACACAGTGTGTACTTTGTGCTGAGATGTCCTGGATTCACAGGGAAACTCAGGTCTACGGAGTGAGGTAAATTTAAAATACAACAAGCGGGGGTCACAGATACATTGCCTGGGAAAGTGAAACAGGAGCTTTGTGAGTCCTGTTTTTATGCTTTTAGACACATTTATATATGAAGGGGCCAAATCACAGTTTTTGCCAATTAGGTTCCCGATTATTCAGGAGTTGTCCAGATTCTGCTACCCACTGTAGTTAATAAACAGAAAGCAAACTTGCCTCTATGCTATCTCATGCTCTCAGGCAAAAATTCTTCAGATTTGAACAACAACAACAACAAAAAAACCCTGTCTCTACACCTCCATTCCCAGAGCGAGCTCACTCTCTGGTAACAAACTTCCCGGGGTAAGTATTCTTCTAGAAGAGTCCAGGGGGACAGGTAAGGAGTGGAAGGCGGGGAGTCCAGTTCAGGTACCGGGATGCAGGGATGACAAGTGAAGGGAGAGGGACGGGGCCCATGCTGAGGATTTCTCTCTGGTTTCTCAGCAGCTCCTGGGCCAAGACTCAGGGAGACATTGAGACAGAGCGCTTGGCACAGGTGGAGCAGGGTCAGGGCGAAGTCCCAGGGCCCCAGGGATGGCTCTCAGGGTCTCAGTCCCTGAAGGCGATTGCGGAGGCTCAGCGATGGGGATTCCCCATCTCCGCAGCTTCTCTTCCTCTCCCAACCTGTGTCGGGTCCTTCTTCCTGGATACTCATGACGCATCCCCAGTTCCCACTCTCATTGGGTGCCGGGTTTCTAGAGAAGCCAATCAGCGTCGCCGCGGTCCTGGTTCTAAAGTCCCCAGTCACCCACCCGGACTCAGATTCTCCCCAGACTCTGCGGGATGACGATCATGGCGCCCCGAACCCTCCTCCTGCTGCTCTCTGGGTCCCTGCTCCTGACAGAGACCTGGGCGGGTGAGTGCGGGGTCGGGAGGGAAACCGCCTGTGCGGGGAGGAGCGAGGCGCCCGCCCGGCAGGGAGGCAGGACCCGAGGAGCAGCGCCGGGAGGAGGGTCCGGCGGGTCTCACCCCTCCTCGCCCCCAGGCTCCCACTCCATGAGGTATTTCTACACCTCCGTGTCCCGGCCCGGCCGCGGGGAGCCCCGGTACATCTCTGTGGGCTACGTGGACGACACGCAGTTCGTGCGGTTCGACAGCGACGCCGCGATTCCGAGAGAGGAGCCGCGGGCGCCGTGGATGGAGACGGTGGGGCCGGAGTACTGGGACCACAACACACGGCTCTCCAAGGCCCAGGACAGGCTGACCGAGTGAGACTGCGGACCCTGCTCGGCTACTACAACCAGAGCGAGGCCGGTGAGTGACCACGGCCCGGGGCGCAAGTCACGGCCTCTCCCTGTTCCCCACGCACGGCCCGGGTCACCCTGAGTCTCTGGGTCCAAGATTCACGCCGAAGTTGCGGGACCCGCCCAGACCCTCGACCCGGGAGAAACTCGGGCTCAGTTAGTTACCCGGTTCATTTTCAGTTTAAGCCAAAATCCCCGCGGGTTGGGCGGGGCGGGGCTCGGTGGGCGGGGTTGACGCGGGGGCGGGGCCAGGGTCTCACGCGCTCCAGACGATGTATGGCTGCGACCTGGGGCCGGACGGGCGCCTCCTCTTCGGGTATCACCAGTACGCCTACGACGGCAAGGATTACATCGCCCTGAACGAGGACCTGCGCTCCTGGACCGCTGCGGACACTGCGGCTCAGATCACCCAGCGCAAGTTCGAGGAGGCCAATGTGGCTGAGAGGACAAGAGCCTACCTGGAGGGCGAGTGCCTGGAGTGGCTCCGCAGACACCTGGAGAACGGGAAGGAGACGCTGCAGCGCGTAGGTACCTGGGGCCGGGGGAACCTCATTGATTGCCTGTAGACCTCCCAGGCTGGCCTTGTAGAAGGAGGGGAGGAAAATGGGACCAACACTAGAATATTTCCCTCCCTCCGGTCCTGAGGGAGAGGAATCCTCCTGGGTTTCCAGATCCTGTACCAGAGAGTGACTCTGAGGGCCTCCCCTGTTCTCTGATACAATTAAGGATTGCAGTCTCTGAGGGAAAGGAGGGGAAGTCAATTCCTGGAACAGTGATCAGGGGTTCCCTGTGACCCCACAGCACCGTTGGGCACCAGGATTTTTTCCCTCCTGCCTTGTCCTCTGCTTCACACTCAATGTGTGCGGGGGTCTGACTCCAGCTCCTCTGAGTCCCTTGGCCTCCACTCAGATCAGGACCAGAAGTCCCGGATCCCCCCTGAGACTAGAACTTTCCAAGGAACAGGACATTATCCCAGGTGCCTGTGTCCAGGCTGGTGTCTGGGTTCTGTGCTCCCTTCCCTACCCCAGGTGTCCTGTCCATTCTCAGGATGGTCACATTGGAGCTGCTAGGGTGTCCCATGAGAGATGCAAAATGCCTCAATTTTCTGACTCTTCCCTACAGAGCCCCCCAAGACACACATGACCTACCACACCGTCTCTGACCATGAGGCCACCCTGAGATGCTGGGCCCTGGGGTTCTACCCTGCAGAGATCACACTGACCTTGCAGCGGGATGGGGAGGACCAGACCCAGGACGTGGAGCTGGTAGAGACCAGGCCTACGGGGGATGGAACCTTCCAGAAGTGGGCAGCTGTGGTGGTGCCTTCTGGAGAGGAGGAGAGATACACATGCCATGTGCACCACGAGGGGCTACCCGAGCCCCTCACCCTGAGATGGGGTAAGTAGGGGATGGAGTAAGGAGAGGATGGGGTAAGGAGGGGATGGGGTGTCATGTCTCTTAGGGAAAGCAGGATCCCCTCTACAGCCCTTCAGCAGGGTCAGGGCTGGGGCCTGGTGGTCAGGGCCTCTCACCTTCCCCTCCTTTCCCAGAGCTGTCTTCCCAGCCCACCATCCCCATCGTGGGCATCATTGCTGGCCTGGCTGTCCTTGGAGCTGTAGTCACTGGAGCTGTGGTCACTGCTGTGATGTGGAGGAAGAAGAGCTCAGGTGAGGAAGGGGTTAGGAGTGGGGTCTGAGATTTCTTGTCCCACTGAGGGTTTCAAGCCCCAGGTGGAGGTGTGTCCTGCCTGGTTACTGAGAAGCATCATCCACACTCATGAGCCGACCCAGCCTGGGCCCTGTGTGCCAGCACTTACTCTTTTGTAAAGCACCTGTGACAATGAAGGACAGATGTATCACCTTGATGACTGTGGTGATGGGGACCTGATCCCAGCAGTCACAGGTCACAAGGGAACATCCTTAGGGACAGTCCTTAGGAGGGCAGTTGGTCCAGGACCCACAGCTGCTTTCCTTGTGTTTCCTGATCCTTCCCTGAGTCTTTAGTCACACATTTCCAGAAACTTCTCTGGGTTCCAAGACTAGGAGATCCTCTAGGACCTCATGGCCCTGCCATCTTTCTGACTTCTCACAGGACATTTTCTTCCCACAGATAAAAAACGAGGAAGCTACTCTCAGGCTGCAAGTAAGTATGAAGGCGGCTGATTCCTGAGCTCATTCGGGTATTGTGGTTGGGAGCCCATGGCGGAGCTCACCCAGCCCACAATTCCTCCTCTAGCGGCGTTTCCTGTGGGCTCTGACCAGTTTCTGTTTTTGTTCTACCCCAGGCAGCGACAGTGCTTAGGGCTCTGATGCGTCTCTCATGGCTTGTAAAGGTGGGATCCTGGGGGAGGGGCTGATGTGTGTGGGTTGTTGGGGGGAACATTGAGAACAGCTGTGTTATGGGGTTTCTTTGACTTGGATGGACTTAGCTGGTTTAAAGTGTGACTGATATAAAATTGTTCATGATTTTTTTTATATAGTGTGAGACAGCTGCCTTGTGTGGGACTGAGAGGTAAGATTTATACACACTCTCCGTTTGTGACTTCAAGAACCCTGACTTCTCTTTCTGCAAAGGCATCTGAATGTGTCTGTGTCCCTATAGGCATAATGTGAGGAGGTGGGGAGACAAGCCCAGCCCCGTGTCCACCATGACCCCTTCCCCATGCTAACCTGCATTCCTTCCCTGGTCACCTTTCCTGTTCCAGAGGCCTGGGGCTGGGATGTCTCCATCTCTATCTCTCAACTTCATGGTGCACTGAGCTGTAACTTCGTACTTTCCTGTTAAAATTAGAATCTTAATATAATTTATTTTGTCAGATTATTTCTATGAGAGGCAATGGGTTAATTAAAAGAAAAAATTACTGAAATTTCAGAGACAAAATAAATGCAAGACCTGAGAACCTTCCACAGTCCATGTGTTGCTTGTGTCGATTTGTTGCAGGGGAGGGAGTAGATAGAGCTGTGTCCAGTGGGTGCTCAGGCCACGGTTAGCTTTATGTGGTCACTGCTCAGCTGGGTCATCTTTGCAGCTGTTGACCTTAGCCCTTCAGTAGACCCTTGCTTGTCCCACCACAACCTATGATCACAGGGACATGGATGTCACCTATGGTGGTCTGCACAGATAAAAGTTCTTGTATCAGGAGACACATTTTCATTCCCCTGTCCCTCTCACCCTTCTTCCAGGTCTCTTCCTGGACTGTATTTTCTATCTTTTCCCCAACCTTCTTAAAGCAGATTCTGATACTTGCAGAAAGGCGGGCTCCTGTAGTTTCTCATCGTAGGTAACTTTCTGTTGGAACTCTTCTGCTCTCTCTCCTACTCTTCTTCCCGCCTGAGTCGTAGTAATCCTGGTGCTGTCTCCAGTCCAAACTCATGGATTTATAAAACAGAGTCTAACTTATATTCATATATGGTTGGAAAATTGGACCCGTAAGCCTAGCATTATCTTTCCTGAAGAGAAAAATATGGTTGTGTGCCACAGCGTGCAGGAGGGTTGGTGTGGGAGGAGGGAGGGAGGGAGGGCACACACGCAGCCCGAGTGAGAAAAGCTCTGGCAGCACTGATGTCAGTGTGAGATGATGTTGCTCTGTAACTACCAAAAAACAGCATTTGGCCAGAGGCTACATTAATAAAGATATTGCTTTTAGAATAGGGAGGTTCCCTACAGTGATCATTCAACTAACATTTGTTGTCTGCTAGGTATATGACTGGTTTTGCATTCAGAAAACATCATGAAAGTAAAAACAGAAAACTTTCCAGCCTTCCGGTGTATATGTTCTAGATGCAAGCTTGTCCAACCTATGGCTCACAGACTGCATGTGGCCCAGGACAGCTTCAAATGTGAGGATGCTTTTGCTAATCTGTGGTGGCAGATACTATAAAAATGAGGCATGTACATTTTCTTTCTTTTTTTGATTTTTTTTCTGCTCATCAGCTGTCATTAGTATGTTTTATGTGTGGCTCAAGACAATTCTTCCCATGTGGCCCAAGAAAGCCAAAAGACTGGACACCTCTGTAGGCAGATGATAGATACAGTATAAGCAGAGTAAGAGCAGAAAATGCTTGAGTGAGAAGGTGGCAAGTGCTGTGGGGCAGGTGATCCAGAGTGTGGGCTGTGGGCACAGGGGGGTGGCTGCTGTGCTGGGTGGTCAGCATGGGCCTCGTTGCAAATGTGACCTTTGAGTGAAGATTTGAGGAATGTGAGGAGCTGTCCCCAAGGATGACTGGGAAAGCTGTTTTCAGGCAGGAAGCTTCAGTGCAGATGCACTAGGGCAGGAAAGTGTCTGTGTTCCTGGAAGGAGGAAGAGGCCAGCAGGGCTGGACAGAGAGAAACTGAAATGAGGTCAGAGGTGTGGCCAGAGCAGGGAGGCCTGGAGGGGGTGGGAAGGGCTTTTTCATTTGCTATGAATGACATGGAGAGTTGAAGGACAGTTTTGAAAAGTGGGACATGCTGGGACTTATACTTTGAAAGCTTCTCTCCGGCTGCTGTGCTGAGAACAGAATTGAGAGGTGGGGGACAAGTGAGGCAGTAGGGAAATGCTGGGGAAGGAGCGCAGTATTCCAGGATGGAGATGCTGGTTACCTTGACTGGGGTGTGAGCAGGGGAAATGGTGGGAAGTGATGGGATTCCGGATGAATTTGAAGATGGACTTCACAGCACTTGCTAATGGATTATATCTGTGGTGTGAGAAAGAAGAATCAAGGACACCCACGGTGTTGGACCGAGTGAGTAGAAGGGTGGAGCTGCTGTCCGTGGAGACGGGGAGACTCTGGCAGGAGCATACGGAGGAGAGGGCATTGCAGGCATTCAGTGGAGGAGACATCTATGAGGAGTGCAGGTGAGGGGCCCGGATGCCTCTGCAGCTACAGCTTCACCACCCAGTTACTCTCCTGCTTCCACCCCCTGTGTCTCAGAGCCAGAGCACTGATTCTCCCCTGGGCTGTCTGCACAGGTAAATGGAAGTCAGGGAAGTTACGCTCTGCTGTTGGTTATAATAAGTCATGAATTATTGTGCTTTCTCAAATAAATAAATAATAAGAGAAGTTGTAACCAGAACACTTATTCAGAAGACTACAATAATGCAAACTTTTTTATTCATCTAAAGAAGGCAACAGAAGAAAAATAGTTGGGTCAAAAAGACATAATATTAGAAGGCAGCAAATGACAATGTACAGACTTAAGCCCAATGAGGTCAACAATGACATTAAACATAATGGACTCACACACTCCAATGACAAGTCAAATAGTGCAGAGGGGGAAAAACAAGTCAATACATAATTGCCTGTATTCTGTTTACAAAAGCCATAATTTCAGTAGCAGGTACAGAAACGCTGAAAGTAAAAGGATAGAAAAGAAACACCAGACACACATTCATGAAAACCACACAGAGATGCCATTTAGAAAAATTACAGGACATGGATCTTGTGAGACACAGAGTCCACGCAGGCAGCTCACAATGTATTTACTTTTTTTTTTTCAGAGACAGGGTCTGTTGCCCAGGCTGAAATGCATTGGTGATATCATACCTCACTGTAACCTCTAACTCCTGGGCTCAAGCAATTCTCCTGCCTCAGCCCTCCGAGTAGCTAGGACTACAGGTGTGTGCCCCTACACCTGGTTATAATGTCTAATTTTCTCATCTGATGTGGTGTGATCAAGGAAGCAATATTATACCATGTATTTGACTTGTAGTAAGAATACAACAAATATCAGGGAAATGAAGAAATAAAACCACTTTCTAGTTCAAGCCATGTCCACATTTACATTTGACAGATGAGGAAGAACATCTCAAACAAGTAAAGTAAAATAAATTGATTTACATCATCCAGAGCAGAATCGAGAACACATTCCCTGTGCTAAAGGAACAGAGCTCTACTGAGGTCATAGCCAGTATCATGAATTACTACTAGAATTGGAACTGACACATTTCAAGATATACTAAACAAAGGGTGTGCAAGGATTAACTGAATGCAGAGATAAAGGAAGAAAATTGACTTGTTTAAAAGATGGACAGAATCCTTTTAAAGTGACTTTATGTGGACCAAAGCATAAGATCCACAGACAATCTCATAGATGAGATGAAGTGTCAGGTGGGAAAGTGCCTAAGCGCAGCTTCCAGACACAAAGGGACCTCAAGATCCTGGGATATTTTTGGTTGTCACATGGGGATTGGTGGGAGGGGGTGAGTGGGGTGCTCCTGGCACAGCTCCCACAATGCATAGGACAGCCCACTCCACAAGGGACTCTCTGTCCCAAATTGTTAATAGTGCTGCTGTTGAGAAACTCGCCCCAGAGGTAAGTGCTGCAATGTCCTCACCATTTCACAGACGAAGAAACTGAGGCACCAGGAGGGAAAGTGTCAGTAGGACCAGAACTGCAGGTTGAAACCAGGCCAGCTGGCTGCAGGGTCTTGGCTCCCCTCGTTAGGTCAGGCACCCAGGAGTCAACCACAAACAACCCAGCTCCGCGGTGCCTTCATGGGTTGTGATCGCCCCCTGGTGTTGGCACTGGGCCTGTGGCTAAACAAGGCTTGCGGGAAAGGAAAAACAGGTTTGGGTAGGGGGATACTCCTTCAGGCTCTCCAGATTTCATGACTTACGTTCAGAAAAAATAATGTCCACCTTAATTATCTCTCCAATCTTGCTTTTCCCAGTCCTGACCAGTGTCCTCCCTGGACTCCATCAACATCGTCACCTGCCAGATACCCACCACCCACCATGCGAGGAGTGAAAAGGCCCCAGGACTATAGGACAAGACTAGGTTCTATCCCAGCCATCCCTCCCACCCCAGAGCTCTAGCTCCATGCCTGTAGCGCTTAGGCTTTTAACCTGGGAACCAGGAACCCACTCTCCCATGACACTGCATGCAGAAGTGATGTTACATGCACACATGACTTCCTTACAAGATATTGGCTATTAATATTCATCAAGTCAGTTGTGGCCCAAGACACAACTCCTTCCACAACAGCTTGTGATCCACTGAATTAAAGGAAGGGTAGAGATTGAGGGAGGCCCTAAGTCCAAATCTTCTACCACTTCTAGTGAAGTTCTGACAAGAAGTGCAAGGTACTCAACCTGCTCTGGGATACAGCAGGAAAGCAGAGTGTTCATGGATTTCAAATTCCATAAAAAGAATACCATTTTGGCAAAATATCCAAGTCATTTTCTTAAGCCCTAGGCAGCAGCTCAAAATAAACAACATCAAAAAACCAAAATCTTGGCCCTATTGAAATCATTGTAGCTATAAAACTTTGTGAGGCCTGTAGTTAGAGAGAAGGACAATTCATTTTGGGGCTGCAACAGAAAACCTACATCATATAGAGTTTTTCTCTATCATGAAGTTCCCCTGAAGGGACCTGCTCCCTTCTGCAGTGCATAGTGAGGCCATTTCTGTGTAAAAAGATATAATTTTCTTGGATTCCTGATGTGGACTCTACTGTACTCACTCTTTGAGATTATAGATGCCAACTTCATATTCGACATCTTTAAGTTAATTTTCTTAATCTAAGCAGAGAATTTGAAATTGTTTCTGAAGCAGAAAACCAGGGACTGACTATGTGAGTTCTCACCCCACTCTGTGGCTTCTATGCAATAAGCATAAGAGATTGTGGGTCAACAGAATTTGTAGCAAGGTAAACATAAACCCTCCATTTCAGCCTGTGTTTCAGCTTGTCTGTTCCAGTCTTGCCCCAGTCTTAACATTTTGAAATTTATAATTATAGTTGATTTTGATTTTATGAGAAGTCACATATATTAATTTCTGTTGGGTTTGTCAGTGAAAGCCTTCTCAAAACAACTATGGAGTAAAGACAGGTAAATAAATGCATGGTGCTCCCACGTGTCAGGGCTCACTGCATCTTACAAATGTATCAGCCCCACTCCAACACATGGCGCATCTCAAATGGTGCTGGAAACCTGGATATCCACATACAAAAGAATGATGCTGGACAAAATTCATACCCTTCCATTATACTCTTTTCAAAAATTAAGTCAGAATAACTCAAAGAACTAACCTTAAGAGTTGAACCTGTAAACCCCTTAAGAAAGGCTCGGCTCAGTGGCTCATGCCTGTAATCCCAGCATTTTGTCGGGCTGGGGCGGGCTGATCACCAGAGGTCAGGAGTTTGATACCATCCTGGCCAACATGGTGAAACCTTGTCTCTACTAAAAAGACAAAAAAAAAAAAATAGCCGGGCTTGGTGGCAGGCACCTATAATCCCAGCTACTCAGGAGGCTGGGGCAAGAGAAGTGATAGAACCTGGGAGGTGGAGATTGCAGTGAGCCATGATTATGCCAGCCTGGGTGACAAGCGTGAGACTCTGTAAGAAAACAAAAACAAACAAACAAACTGTAAGAAAATACTGAGGCAAATCTAATTGATAGTGGTTTCTTGGCGGGTGATGAAAAGCACAAGTAATATAAGAAAAATGACAAATTAGGCTGCATCAAAATTTAAAAACTTTTTTGCATCAAAGAACACTATTAACAGAGTAAAAAGAAAATGCACAGAATAGGAGGAAGTATTTGCCAATCACATATCTGATCAAGAATTAATATCCAGGATAGGTAAAGAAACACAATTCAGCAATAGCAGAACAATCTCATTCAAAAATGGGTAAAAGACATAAATAGACAATTCTCCAAAGAAGATATAAAATAAGGGCATAAAAATAAGGAATTCCAATAAGAATATATGCTAAACTTCTCTAGGCCAAGTGTTGGTGAAGATATGGAGAAATTGGAACACTTATGCACTGCTGGTGAGAGTGAACAGTGGTGCAGCCACCGTGGAAATGGTATAGTGGTCCCTCAGGAAAGTCAAAATAGAATTACTGTATAAGACAACAACGCCACTTTGGGGCATATACCCAAAAGAACTGAAAGCAGGAACTCACACAGACATTTGTACCCTCAGGCCCATAGCAGCACTATTCCCTCAGCATGTGGATCATCAGCAGATGACTGGGTAAATAACCCATGATGTACATGCATATGGAATATTATTCAGTCTTAAAAGGGAATAAAATTCTGATTAGATGAACTTCAAAACCACTATAAGAGAAGTAAGCCAGAAATGAGAAATAAATATAATATTTTACCTATATGAGGTAGCTAAAATTCATAAAAACAGATAAGCAAGTTCATAAAAAATTCATAAAATTCATAAAAAAATTCATAAAAACAGGTAAGCAAATTCATAGAAACAGAAAGTAGAATAGAAGTTACCAGGGGTTGGGGTAGGGAGGTTGGGCAGTTATGGTTCAATGGGCACAGTTTCTGTTTGGGATGATGAAAATGTTCTGGAAATGGATGTTGGTGGTGCTTACACAACACTGTAAATGTGCTTAATGACAGGAAATTGTACACTGAAAAAATGGTTAGAAGGTAAATTACATGGTATGTATGGTTTACCACAATTAAAAAATATATATCAACATTAAATCCAATCACAACTGTCATCGAGATTTTTATTATACTGGTGTTTCAACAAGCACATTGCTGTTGTGGAGGGAGGTCCTTGGAGTTCTTATGCCACCATGTCCTTTGGTGTCACTTCTCAGCCACTTTTAAATTGTGTTTATGCATCACAATTCCTGATCTGCCAAGTGCTTTCAGAAAAATTATTCACATGGCAAAAATTCAAGTAACTTATTCTTGGTGCTATACTCTATGGAGTTGATCTCAGAGAAAAGAATCAAACCACATTGGACCTCATAGATGGCAAAGGTAAGAAGTTGGAAGATGAGTAAGGAAATTATAACACAACCTGTCAAAGTATTTTATATGACTTTTTTCTTTGAATGCTACATGATTAATATTTTATAATGACTATACTGACTTACATGTACCAATGATTACAAATTAAAATTTCTGCTTTCCTTCTCATTTCTTTCTTATATATTTCTCTGTCTGTGTAATTATTTTTAGAGTGGACATTTTGGATAGTTCAGCAGTTTCATTTATACAATGATGTTTTGTTTTCGTCTTATTCATGAAAGATGGATTTGCCAGCCACAGATTTCTAGTTTGACGTGTTTACTTTCAGCTCTTTAATGATTATGTCTCTCCTGGCTGCTGTGGCTAACAGGGAAAAAACAGTTACATCTTAACCCAGTTGCTTCTTAGATGACCCGTGTTTCTTCTGTGGCTACTTTTTTTTTTTAATGAACAAGTGTAATTTTTTATTAAGATAGAACTGTTTTTATTAAAGAAATATATGAAAACGGTTAAGTAAAATCAAATGGCACCAAAAGTATTCCGATGAAAACAGCAGTCCTCCCAGTTGTTCTTTCCAGAGGCAAGCACTTTCCCTTCATCTTAGTTTTTCCTTCGGGTAGATACTTTCATGAGTTTTTCCACATTATTATTCTTTTTCAAGTCAATGCATATATATTAATACGTGTAATGTCAAAAAGCTTCTTCAGTTTATAATGCATCCTAACAATCCCCTGCCCCATCCTTCCTAATTCTCCAGAGCAATGACTTTTAACTCTTTTAACAATGTCTTCTATTATTTCTCACATAACTGCTTAATCATTTCTTGATTATTTTATACATTATATAGGAATTTCTTGATACAAAAGATGAGGATTTAGCTCTTACACCATCACTATCCTCATTTTTCCTCCCATATTGTCCCAAAGTAGTTACCAGATTTTGGGGCTAAGCAGTCATTCTGACTATGCACGTATTGTTCATTGTTGAGAAAAACAGCGTATTATACTCTTACTTTCTCTCCTGTACTTCTTTCTGCCCTAGAATTAAGGACTGCCTAACCAAGCCTTCCCCCTTGTTTTTATTTTTTACTTTTGCTTTTTCTTCAATAAACTTCTTTCCAAATATCCCAAATCTGTCAATAACCTATTATTATTTTTAAGAGAAGGGATCTCACTATGGTGGCCAGGCTGATCTGGAACTGTTGGGCTCAATCCATCCTGAGTAGTTGGGACAACAGGCCTGGACCATTCCACCCAGCTAATCTATTAATATTTTTACTGTTTCCTTTTAAAGCCAGCTCCATAGCTGGAATATTGTTTGTGCGGGAGCCTGTTTGCTGGATCCAAGTCATTCTCTGGTTTGTGTACTCCTTCATTTCACTGGAGTATTTTCTCTAATAGCTTCCCAAGAAAGGGTACATGGAGGTAACCCCTGAGTCTTTGCTTGTCTAAAGATGTATTATTTTACCTTCATCCTTGATTATTTGGCTGAATGTAGATTTATCAGTTGAAAATAATGTTCATTCTAGAATTCTGAAGACATGGTTCCATTGTTTTCAGGTTCTTTTTTGTGACAGGGTCTCTTCTGTTACCCAGGCTGGAGTGCAGTGACACAATCATGAGTCACTGTGGCCTTGAACTGCAGGCTCAGTTGATCCTTCCATCTCAGCCCCCTGAGTAGATGGGACTACAAGTGTGCACCACAATGCCCAGATAATTTTTTTATTTTTTTTGTAGAGATGGGGCCTCACCATGTTGCCCAAACTGGTCTCAAGTGATTCTCCTGCCTCGGCCTCCCAAAGCGCAGGAACCACAGGTGCGAGCCACAGTGCCCGGCCAGTTTTCCTTCTACTCTCTCTACTTCCTTCATTTCTCAAAAGCATCTCAAACTCAGTGAGCACAAAAGCAAAGTCAGACTCCATCAGAATATCCTGCTACTTCCCACTTTAAAATGTATCGTAAATCACAATTACTACATGCAACCCTTTGGTTCACACCACCATCATCCATCACTTGAACTTAGAATTGGTTTTCCTCCTTCTGTATTTTTTTAAATTATAAAATATTTCAAATAAACCATGTGTTGCTTTACACTTTTTACTACATAAAAAGAATGAATATCTGCTGGGTGCAGTGGCTCATGCCTGTAATCCCAGTACCTTGGGAGTCTGAGGGGGTTAGGTCACTTGAAGTCAAAAGTTCAAGACCAGACTGACCAACATTGTGAAACCCTGTCTCCACCAAAAACACAAAATTAGCCAGGCATGGTGGCGCATGCCTGTAGGCCCAGCCACTTGGGAGTCCGAGGAGGACAATCGCTTGAACCAGGAAAGGTGGAGGTTTCAGAGAGCCGAAGTCACACCATTGCACTCTAACTGGGCAAAAAGAACAAAACTCTGTCTAAAAAAGAAAAACAAAAGTATGGAGAGCTTCCGTACTTAAACATGGAATTGCTTTCAGTGTTTGGCATTCACTGTTCCCGTACATGCCAGCAGCTTATTACTGCAAACACCTGGGACTTGCTATGGAGCAGCTGAAGTACGTTCCACTCACACACAGGACAGGGAGCTGACAACCAAGGAGCGGGAGGTCAATACTCCAGCTTTCTCCCCTCCGTGTCCCTGTATCTCAGCAGTGTGGAGCTTGTTACCAATGAGAACCCGCTCACTGACTTTAAGCTGGTTTTCTTACCTTCTCAGTTCCATTTTTCCATACCTCAACTGATGATTTCTGGTATGATCTAGCAAATAAACTGCTTTCCCTGAAATGTCAGTCTTGGAGCCTTCTTTGGGCTCTCCAATCAAAGACAGAAATGTATTCATTTTCCCATCCCTGGACTTCCAGGTTGTTTTCAGTTTTTGCTGCTTACAATCAAGGCTGCAACATATCTCCACAAACCTCTGGATACCCAGGAAGGAAGTTTTCAGTATTTCCCAAGAGCAAAACTGCCCAGTTGAAAGGTATGTGCATCTTCTTCTTTAATTAATACTACCAACATTTGAAAAGCCCAACAATGTCAAGGCCTGCCATGAGTGCCACATGTGATGGGTGTGGAATGGCAGCTCACTGGAGCAGATGCTGGGGACTCAGTCGGGGTCTTGGAAGGCACTTGGTTTTAGCAAGAATGTTTCATAAATGGTATCTGATAGAGTCAAGATTCATGGGGAATAAAAATACATTGCTTAGAAATAATTATGCATAGATCTAAAGTCAACAAAAGTCTTTTTTTTCTAATGGAAAATACACACTTTTTTTCTAGGACAGGGGGAAAAACTTAAAATACACCAGAAACACCTTCATATTAATCATTCTCATATACTTCAAATTTGTACTTCATGCCTTTCTCCTCCTGGACATCAGAGAGAACACCCGGGTATTCTGGCAGAGTTTGTAAAACAGGACTTTCAAAGTCCTGCATAATCCTTGTCCCATATACTTTAAGATGGCCTGGGTGATTCATGGCTTCCTGACAAACAGATCTGTCACCAACTATCCAAATCACATCTACTTCATTTGCTGATTCTGGTTGTTTAGTAAATTTTAAGGCATCAGCCAGACTTCTGGCAAGAAAATGAGCCCCTCTTGGAGGTTCCTTGAGTTCTCTCCTGAGAACTAAATTAACTCTAGATTTTAAAGGTCGATTCTTCTCAGGAATGGAGAAGCAGGTCTTCCTCCCCATAATCACCAGATTCTGTTGACCTTTTACTGAAGAGGTTGTGGTCATCCTCTGGAAATACCTGAATTCATTCCCGAGCAGTGGCCAGGGCAGGTCCCTGATCTTACCAATGCCCCATGTTCTGGGACACAGTGACGATGCAGCTTAACAAACGAACCATGACAGCAGCGGTGAGCACCTCCGAGCCCACTTGCTGTGGCTACTTTTAAGATCACCGTTTCTCTTTAACATCTGAAGTTCCGGTGCTGTATGAGCCACTGAGCCCAGCCTGTGGTCTTTTGGTTCACTAAGTGGCTTAATAAGACAAAGTTGGTTTGAGCCAATACTTCTGGCATGTTTGTTTTCATTTGTAATAGAAGCTTTCTCTGAATCCATCCCCAGGAGGTGAATTGGAAAACTGCAATCATAGCCAAAACTAGAAAATACTGGAAGTAGCCAACGTTTGTCTTCATTATGTTTGTCTCCAATTTTTACTATTGTTCTATTTTTTCCAGCCAGTCAACAGTAGTAGCTGAAAAGAGAGAGGTCACTGATGAAGAACACGGCAGGCACAGAGAAAAGGACAAGTATGCGGAGCTTTGCTGTGTATCTGTCAGTTCATTCTACTCCTCTAAAACGTGGCGTTCTCAGGACTTGATGTCCTCCAGGCCTCCAGATGAAGGTAGTGCTCACCCTGAGAGCCAGCTGGACTCACCTCTTGTGTGTAACTGCACAGCCACAGCATCTGGGGGACTTGTCCTGCACTTCTGGAATCATCTTTCTTGGTCATGGTGGCTACTGCTGCATTGTCCTTCTGAGGTAGGTGAGATCGGGTGTTCACAGCCTCCCTTAAAAGGAAACAAGAGACTTGTCAGGTTGATGGAGAGAACAAGCTGTTCCACAGTGCACACACCATGTCCTAAGCTTGTGGTTAGAACATCCTGCAGCAAGGAGGTGGAAGAGCAGAAGGGAAAAGTCTCCAAATCTGTGCAAGCACAGAAACCCACGATTAGTGTCCTTGGGCTGACCTATGCTCATTATAATAATAGAAACACATCCCTGAGTGTGAAGTTAAGATGCTAATGAGACATGAGATGTATGTGCTAGAGTGCACAACCGCAGTGCACGCAGGCCCAGGAGACCACAGACATGCTTAAAACAATACCCCTTCCCACCTCTTCATGAATAATCATGTAAGACTCCCATGAGGGAAAGGTAGTGTCTCTTTTTTTTTTCTTTTTGTTTTTTTTTAGAGACAGGGTCTCGCCATGTTGCCCAGGCTGGAGTGCAGTGGCTATTCACAGGCGCAATCCCACTACTGATCAGCATCGGGAGTTTTGACTTGCTCGTTTCCGACCTGGGCCGGTTCACCCCTCTGTAGGCAGCCTGGTGATCCCCTGCTCCAGGGAGCTCAACATATTGATGCCGAACTTAGTGTGGACACCCGATCGGCATAGCACACTATAGCCCAGAACCCCTGGGCTCAAGCGATCCTCCCACCTCAGCCTCCCAAGTAGCTGGGACTACTGGCATGCGCCACCGTGCCCAGCGGTACTGCCTCACTTTTGAGTAGCCTGCTCTGATCAGCTGTCAGAGTGTACTTTCATTTTGCAATAAACTCTCTTGCTTACTTTTACTTTGGACTTCCTCTCAAATTCTTCTGTGTGACAGAGTCAAGAGCTGGAACTGGCCCACTGGCAACACTTCCTCCCTTTTCCTTTCTTTCTGTAACTTGTTGCTAGGGATAACTTTGCCCCTGCCGGCAGCATGCCCCTAGGAACTGAGGATGGCGCACTGTGGCTGGTGTCCTCCTCGGCTTGGCCTTGGGTCACTAAGTGCAGCCCATGGTAGGATGTTCTTGGAATGAGTGGCACTGCCTTGTGCAATGGTCCCCGTGGGGTTGGCCCACAGGTGCCAGTATCTGTGGCATTTTCACAACTCTTTAAAAATACTCAAGAATGTACAGAGGAGAGCAGTTCTAGGGCGTGACCTGTGTCCCCCACCTGCTCATCTGCATGGCAGTGCGTCTGACGCTGTCAGAAATGAAAAATGCCGCTGCCCCTTTGCAAAGCACTACTTAGTTTTTCTCCTCTTGAAGGTGGTGGCACGATGCCCAGGTTGAGATGGACGCAGGAGTCAGCATTCCAAAGTAAAAAGAGAGACTTTCACAGAAATACCCAAGCTTTTCAATGTGAATGAACAGGACTTCTACCTTCTGGCAACCGTGGATTTCTCGTTGAGATGTTTCTAGTTTTCAGAGTGGTTTTTCCTTTATGCAGGTAGTTTATATAAAAAAAAGGAAAAGACAGAAAAGGAAAAGCAGGAGAAGGTGTATGGGGAGCTGGGACCCTGGGCCTGTGCAGGTGAGGTACAAGGTGCTTCTGGCGAGGCTGCCACCATTTGGGGCACTGGCACATTGGGGCATGGCAGGGCCTGCCTTCCTGATGATTTTGTCTGTCCCAGTTGCTCACTGGAAGTTTTGCAATGCCCAGAGTTTTGTTCTGATGGCAATTTTAAAAAGTATTATATTAGGCCAGGTGGCTCATGCCTGTAATCACAGCACTTTGGGAGGCCAAGGTGGGAGACTCATCTGAGGTCTGGAGTTTGAGACCAGCCTGACTAACTGTAGGGCTAAGGGCCCCACAGGGTTGTGCAGTGTCCATTATGCTGTGCTGAGGAGCAGGATCCAAGAAATAAAGAGACAGGACACAGAAGTACAAATAAAGCACAGCTGAACTCAGGGGGCTATGCCACCTCTAAGCATAGACAGACAAGGCCCCAAATGTCCAGAAGTGTGTGTATTTACTGGGTATAGGTCAGAGGGCAGGATAGTGAGTGAAGTCATCTTTAAGGATAGTGACAGGGTAGTGAGCAATAAACAAGAGATCCGCCCCCATTAGGTGACCTAGGCTAGGAGGTGGACAGTGTGTAGCAAGGGGTCCAACCCCATTAGGTCACCGAGGCATGGAGGTGGGCTGTGCATGGTGAAGAGGGTGCAGTGTGCAATATCTCTTATCTATGGGCATGCTACTTCCAAGAATATCTATAGGAGGATGCTTTAAGTCACACAGCAGTGACAGAGCTGTCAGAGACTACCGCCACCTGCTGGCAGATTCCAATGAATTCTATAGGAGGATGCTTTTGAGCCAGCACAGTAGCAAGAGCAGATAAAGTTCACAGTCACCAAGGCATGAGTGTCAGGAGGGGTTTGGAGCCCTGGGATGATCGAGGGATTGCTGGTCTGAGGGCAGCCGTTCACAAGAACTGGAGCAAGGTCCTACAGCTCCTTTGTCAGGATGAGTGGCCCTTGCACCAAACCTGCCATACAGCTGGTATCTTTACGATGCTGAACGCTGCTGCCTGGGCCATGGGTTCTTGTCCTGGTGTAACTATTTTTCCCTTAAATCATGCTCTGCACCAGGTCTGCTCTAGACATTCCTCCGACTATAAGCTGCTTATTCCTTAATTCATCCTCTGTACCGTGTCTGCTCTAGGCATTCTTCTGATTATGAACTAAGATATAGTTACCTGTATGTATAGGGAAATAACAGAATAGTAAGATATTCTTTAGGCACTCATTCTATGAACTAACGTATGATTATATATAAAGGATTATATAAAAGGAAATAACTGAGTAGTAACACTATAAGCTGAGATATTCTTCAGGAACTAATTGTGCCAGGATTCTGCTTAGCTCTACTTCCTCAGTGCTTATAAGGGGGTTTATCCACAATTAACATGGAGAAATCCCGTCTCCATTAAAAATACAAAATTAGCCGGGCATGGTAGTGCATACCTGTAATCCCAGCTACTCAGGAGGCTGAGGCAGAAGAATCACTTGACCTCAGGAGGTGGAGGTTACAGTGAGCTGAGATAGTGCCATTGCACTCCAGCCTGGGTGACAAGAGAAAAACAATGTCTCAATATACATATATTACCATATATATATTACACGATTTTATCCTTTTTGAAAATAGCTAATAAAGCTTTCTGGCTAAGTTGTTAGTAATGATAATCTCTCTAATGTGCTTAAAGGCGGCCAAAGCTGCAGGGTTCCCACCCTCACTGGGTACCTGGGCTTCCCTGCTTGTTCTGTTTTCAAGTGTCTTTGCCTGTTGGTTGCCCCATGACTGCTGACATCACGCCTTTAGGAGGAAACCACACTCTTCCTTGCCCATTGAGGGTTGGAAAACTGGATAATTAGGCTGGATGAAGAGAGGAGATACCATTTGCTCTGCGTGGGCACCATCGTCACCTGCACTTGAAAGCGAGGCTGAGGTGCAGAAGGCACAAAATGTGGCCACATCTCTCAGCTGGCAAGTGGCCCAGGGGTAATGTGAGCCTGAGTGGGCAACTCTGTGACACAGGACAGGGTGCATTGCAGCGTTGGCCACTGTGACTGCAGGGCCAAAAGGAACCAGGGCTGAGAGAAACCTGGAGACATGCTGGGGTGGGGCCAGACCAGGGCCTGGAGAGAGCCTCCACTGCCCTCACAGGGCCTGGGGGAGACGTACCGAGGAGGGGGCACCTCCCCCTCTCCCCTAGCTTTCCTGAGCCTTAGCATTGTCACCCAGCCCACATTCATGTCCCCAGTGTCCACCAGGTACTTTTCATGTTTCTCCTCCTTTATCTTCAGAACCTCTCCATGAGGTCAGTGTTGGATTTGCATTTCTGTAGTTGAGGGAAGGACTCAAGCCTGGACAGTTCTTAGGAATGGGTCCACAGCCAGTGACTGGAGCCACACTTGAGCCCCAGTAGCTCAGAATTCTGAGACCAGAATGTTCTGAGTTCTGAGTTGTTGGGCGGGCAGTGCCCTGTGCCAGCTGTACCTGCCCACTACAGGCTGCCACCCAAGACAGGTGACCAGAACAGGAGAGCATTGCTCAGAATCCAAGACATGAATTTCTTTCCCTGGGCCAGGCCAGGACCCAGGCGAAGCTGGCTGAGGAGCCAGGTGCTTCCTGGCAAGGAAATGTGTCCCACATCTGACGATCCAGAAGTCACAGCTGCTCAGTATTGAGTTTTGAGGGGTGGGGAGGGGGCGGTTATGGTTTGAAAAGCAGAATTCTGCTAAGGGGCTTGTTAAAAATTTCTGATTCAGTAGGTCTGGGGCAAAACTTGAAAACCGCATTTCTAACAAGCTCCCGGGTAATTCCAATGCTGCTTGTACCAGGACCCCACTTTGAGAACCACCACCCTAAGGCAATCTAGTTTGATTTCTAGTATGAGAAGAGGGCTGGAAAGCAGAGGTGTAGTATCAATGAGTTCATGCCTGGCCCATCCTGGAGAGCTCCCCACCCCAACGCTGCAGCATTTGATTTCCTTGGCATCATGGGAATGACAGACACCCAGGAAGGGACTGAATGTGAGGCAAGGGGCCATCCAGAGGCTTGACTTCACACAGCACCTGGGGCTCCTGCCACTCCACAACTGGCCCCCACACCCTCAGTCCTTCTCACCCCTCACACACTGACCAGGCTTGTGCTACTGACTTTGGCTGTTTCGGCCTGGGATATGACCCTAGGAGCTCTCAGTGGTAACTTCTGATCCAAATACATGGTGATCTAGAATGACAAGGACTTAGAATGTGCTGGTAATGAGGACCTTGAAAATTTGCCAAATGGAGTCAATTATGTGCCCTTCAGAAGAATTATCAGTGTTCTCTTTTCTAAGTACAGTATCACATCCTTGAGAGCACATGGACAGTAGAGGGCGTTCTGAGCCCACTGAAGCCACAATTGTCAAGTTGGACCCCCCAGAATCCCTTGTAGATTGGGCTTCATCATTTATACCAAGATTTGGCCAAAATTTCCTTCACCCAACCAATTGCATTTGTTAATTAATCATGCTGTCATTTTGCCTTTTAGTGAATGAAAGTCAGACATGTAAAGAGAGGTAGTGCAATTAAAAAGAAAACAGCTTACTGAGTTAAAGTGCTAGTAAACATCCTTGTTTAAGCGGTGATATAATGTTTAGAACTTTGTATCTTAAGGAAGGTAAGATAATTATTTCTATTAGAGTTTTTTAAAGTTTTTCATTTGAGGCGTTTGGCTTTGTTTGTTTTGTCTCCTTTGGAATTGTCTTTTATTTTATGTTTTGACTTGGCTCAAAATTCAAAAGGCTAAAAGTCTCTCAACCTGTTCCACCTCTGACGGGCAGCCACTGATATCACTATCCTGCTTATTCTTTCAAAGTCATTTTATGCATATGCAAGCAAATATAAACATACACGTATATATTCCTTCTACATTTTCACACAAATTTTAGCAAACTACATATGCTTTTCTGCACCTTACTTCTATCCTTCACATTGTATCATGGAAACTATCCCACGAAGCAATATCAAGAGCTTCACTACATCTTTCTTTATTTGTTTTAAATTTTTGTGGTACTCCATTGCATAGATATGCAAAAATTTCTTTTAATAGAGATTACTTTTTTTGACTGCATTGCTTTTTAACTAGCCCCTCCTGATAGGTATTTGGATTATTTCTTTCAGGGAACAATTGAACATCATGTAGCATCATGTGGGAAGCGTGGAGTGATTCCACTCCTACATGCGTATTCTAGGGGAGCTCACATATTCCTGGGACCAGAAAGCAATGTCCCAGCATGTTCATTGCAACAATGTCTGTA